AACTGCCGCATAGAGTTTTCTAGGCTGTAATCTTTATGCAAGTAGATCGTAGGTCTTTCCTCCTGCGGAGCCACTGGGTGGGTTCAAACTGCCCTCCTTTCAGTTAGCAGCCAAACCCTTAACCATTGTGCCACGGGGGCTCCTTCCATAAAGATTACAACCAAGAGAACCCTATGAAGCAGCTCTACTCTGTAACATATGAGTTGTAATCATCTCCATGGCAACAAGTTTGATTTTTGAGTGTGTGTGTTTTTAATGCCTATTTAGTGCTTAACAAGTAAATTTTTGAAAAGGATAATGATTACAGTAAACTGCTTATTTAACTGTACTTTCCTATACAATTTTTGGAAGACTGAGATAAATAATAAGAATTGGCAAAAGTTTCTTTAGTTCTTTCATCCCTCTTAACCTCACTTTTTCATTTTAGGTTCCTCTCATGCCTCAGCTGCATCAAACAGCTCTGTAAATCGAACTGTCTGCACTTCAGAGGACAGACTACTTACACTGAAGGCACTGAAATATAAAACAAACACTTATGCTACCCTGTAATACACAATTTAAACTTTGAAACCAGCTGTAATCACATTTACATGACTGTCCACTCTCTAGGGTCAAAAGAGACTATCTATAACAAAGAGTTCATTTAATTCAGGCTCTGAAACAAACAATGGCAAGAATGATTGGTGTGCTGTAGGATGTTCTCAACTGCTGCCAGTCTAGTGAGTCAAAAGCTATTTACCTAGGGTGTTTTGAAGCACAATTTGAAGCAGCCTATTGCACAAAAAAAACTTACGTGGCTTTTCCTTCCCGAAGGAATATGCAAGATAATGAAAATTGGAGAGTGGCAGATACAACTTTTTTAGACAAAGGCTTGAATTTTAACTTGACATCAGTCTGAGTTGGCATTGGACTTGCGTACTGTTTCATATTGATGCTGCTGGTAGCAAGAGCTTTCCTTCGACCAGAAGGGGATTCCTGCAAGATAAACAGTAATTATATAATTTGGAGTTATTTGCTTTTTAGCCAAATATTTTTAAATACCATCTTAACAAATAAAAATTGAGAACTTCCTTCTTCAATGAATTTTTATAACACAATAATTAAATAAAATTCTGAAGAAGAGGTTACAACATAGCTTTTATATACATAAGGCAGGTATGAAATTGGAGAGAGTTGGCTCAGACAGAAACAAGGGAAGAATAGAGCAACCCTAAATACATCAAGAAAGGAAAAGCAAGGAATGAAAACAAAGACCGTCTCCAGGGTTATTGTGAAAAGAGGTTCTAGGACAAGACTAGGCATCAACAGGCATGCAACAATTATTTTCTTTGCTTTGATTATATTTGATGTAACCTAATGCTATTTTTCCTTTCTGAACACCTACAATTTTTTTTATAGAACTCCCAGCTTAGGCAGAATTCTCCCTCCTTTTTGCCTACAGTTTCTGAAGTCTATTCTAGAAATTGACCTCATTTCTTTATTTCCCAGGGCCTTTACTGATCACTCCAGTCCATAGTTCTTTCTCCCTTCCATAAGATCACATATATTAAGGAAGACAAACAGTTGGTTTCTCTGATCAGATGCCCATAGAAAACATTGCTAACCGACCCCAGTAGATCTCAAAATTCTCAATGCACCTACTGCCAATACACCTGAATTCAAACACAAAATGAAACCTATTTGATATCGAAAGTGTTTAACATTCCATTAATAGGCTACTTCGTTTTATAATATCCTTTACAGAATGATAGCCTAGAAGAACAACGAAAACAAGGCAGCAAAATAATGAGTGAACATTAATTTTGTATAAGGCACTGTGTAAATTCTGGAGAGAGATGATGATGAATAAGACATAATCCCTGACTATGTGGCAAGAGGAAAATATTATATGTAGGATAATTTGTAAATAATGTCAGAGGTCACATACCACCATTAATGTAAATCAGAGGTCATCTACCATCATTCCTTAGTAGTCTGGGAGTTGAGACCTAACTTTAATTTCCAAGCTGCGTGAGTAACTCAGTAAACTTGAACCTCAGTAACCTTCTCTATAAAATAGTTTGAACAGAAATCCATGCAGGCTCTACAATTATTTTGTAGAAAATTACTCCATTTTCCTACCAAAGCAGGAAAAACTATCATTAATTCTTTTGGATTGTTACTTAATAAATCTTTATTTTTCCTGTGATTGA